CAACCCTGAGCCGGTGAGATTTGAACCGCTGACCTGCTGATCTAGCAGTAGCCTGCAGTGCTGCATTTAACCACTGCGCCACCTTGGCTCCTGCTGCCTTTGAGAAGGTGGAGGACGATCTTGAAAGCTAAGGACCCAAGTCTCTTACTGGCCCCTAGGAAGGGTGAGGAAGACTCCTGGCTGACCCCATGCACCCATTTCAGAAGTCAAAGACAAAAGAGAAGTGGAGAGGACACCAAATCTGCAGGTTGGCAATCGTTTATTTCTTGAGCAAAGAAAGGGGAATTAAGAATCACGTCGTTTTTGGATTGGGAGGCAACATGAAGTCATTGTTCAAACACTGAACAGAAAAAACAGCGATACACCGTGACAAATACTGTTTGCGTGATGTAGTACAGCTTTTGGCAAACCCAACAGACAGACCCGGAATGGACACAAGACCAAGTTGAAGATCCATCGGTATGACTTGCGGTTCTGCTCAATGAACAGCCGGACGTGCTCATCCCGTAAGTTGGGCTCCAAATACAACCGGTTGACATAATATCACCTGCCGTTTTCTGAAACGGTTCTCTGCACCATCTCCATCAACTCCGAGACCTGCCTCTCCCACTCGACTCCCACAGCCTTGTTGTTGAACCCGCAGAAGTGGTTCTTGCACCGCCGGATCAGTACCCGCAGATTCTTGTTGTCGGATGTCCAGATGTACTCCTGCAGGGGGTCCCCGCCCAAATCTTCCATGCAGGTAAACAGCACAATCGTGTGCCTGGTGCACTCAGACCCAAAAACATCCTGGACACATTTTGCGGCGACCGCATCTTCGGCAGTGAAGCGCCCCACCTGGGTCACCAAGATCAGGGCATGGGGACCAGGCCAGGAGAGCTCGATGCAAGCCATGATCTGTCGTCGTACAATCTCATTGTAGTCTTCAGAATCAAAAATGGCTGGTGTGTTGACCACGGAGATCTTCGTGCCCTGCCAGCTTTCCTGCCCACATTGGCACCTCAGGGTGCTGGCCTTGGCCCCCAAAATGGACTGAAACACCCTTCGACTTTCCCACCACCCGACTTTCCCACCAGGATCAGCCAGAATTCACTGTCCTCCCCTGCGAGTTTGGAAGACGAGGTTACAAAAAGAAATTGGGAAAAGGAAGGAACTCTGAAGACCACATTCCAGAAACATTGGCCTCCACTGTGGTCTTGGAGTGCTGTTGATGCACTCTTCTTTCTTTCTTTCTTTCTTTCTTTCTTTCTTTCTTTCTTTCTTTCTTTCTTTCTTTCTTATTTATTTATTTATTTATTTGACTTATATACCTCTTCATAGGGCTTTCAGCCCTCTCTAAGCGGTTTACAA